AGCCTACAGGTCAGACATAACCTACAGCCTACAGGTCAGACATAACCTACAGCCTACAGGTCAGACATGACCTACACAGCCTACAGGTCAGACATAACCTACAGCCTACAGGTCAGACATAACCTACAGCCTACAGGTCAGACATGACCTACAGCCTACAGGTCACAGACATGACCTACAGCCTACAGGTCAGACATGACCTACAGACTACAGGTCAGACATGTCAGACATGACCTACAGACTACAGGTCAGACATGTCAGACATGACCTACAGACTACAGGTCAGACATGTCAGACATGACCTACAGACTACAGATCAGACATAAACTAAAGATCAGGCAAAAACTACAGGTCAGACAAACTACAGGTCAGACATGACCTACAGCCTACAGGTCAGACATGACCTGCAGCCTACAGGTCAGACATGACCTACAGCCTACAGGTCAGACATAACCTACAGCCTACAGGTCGGACATGACCTACAGCCTACAGGTCAGACATGACCTACAGCCTACAGGTCAGACATGACCTACAGCCTACAGGTCAGACATGACCTAGAGGTGCATAGTTTTTAGTGTGTATGTGTGGTTTTCTTGTAGAGGTTGTGTGTTTGTGTCATACTTTGCCAACAGAGGTAGAGTGCTCCTGAACTTCCTCCAGAAAGTTTCCCAGAAGGCTCCAGTCTGCCATGACCAAGTAGAAATCAGCCCAGACCTTTTATTTCACCTGCTGACCTCTGACCTTTTGACCTGCAGGTACAAGATCCTCCTGAGAAACAGAGAACAAAGCAGGTTAACAGTGAAGCTGGGTCAGAGGGGTCACACAGGGTCCTTTAAAGACCTCCTGATTATAGTTTATTTTGATTTTAAAAAAGTTCTAATGAGAAAATAAATCCAGGAAACACTTTTATCCCACATCTGCACACACATTTCTACATACATGTACTGCTGACTCAGCATTCACATTATTATTTTCCTGTTTACAGACAGACACTTTAATAAACCCGAGGGAACTCCAAACATGCAGCTACAGACAGTGAACCCAACATGACACAGGAGCCGACGCAGGAACAACACAGAACTCCTTATAAGGCCTCCTCAAACATCTACTTTTAAACCCCCTTAAAGAGCTACAGACATGAAGTGACCAGAAAGGTCCAACTGTCAGGATGTACAGGTGTCTGTCACCGAGTGTCTCCTCCTGCCAGAGAGGTGCTCTGTGGTCCGATGAGCAGGAGGACAGAGCTCCTCACTCTGCTGAGGGTGGTGGGTGTTCAGGATGGACACCATTTAGTCCAGGATCCTTCTGTCTCATCAGGAAGTCCAGCTCTGTTCCCTGAGCTGAACCAGATCCTTCTTCCTGTTTCAGCCACATACTTTGTGTAATTTTAAATATTTAACCATTGGCTCCATTGGGAATAGTGTGCTATGACTTTAAAATGTGTTACTTTATAAAATTAACCATTAAAATAGATCAAAATCTCATCCATTCTCTCAAAACTTTGATTTTGTTACATTCTACTTCATTCTTGCACTACTTTAAGTACATGTCACTAAGTATAGTAAATTATGAAAATGTGGATTTCCTTAAGAGTACTTTTGTTTACCAAATACACTGATGTAAGTATAATAGCAGTTTATTAACACATATACTTCTCAGGACTAAACTGGCCCACATTATGTTTATGAAAGTTTACTCAGAAGTATATTGAAAGTAATCTTCTAGGTATACTATTAGTTTACTAGCTGTTCACTTCAAATAAATCAGTCTGTGTGAAAATGTACTTTCAGTGTACTACTATTTAAGTTTATCTTGGCCAAAAGTTTGAATTTAAGTATAAACTAAGTATACTTCGATTTTTAGTATATTTTTAGTATAAGTCAAGTATGGTGTAAGATAAACTTGATAAATATATCTGAGATAAGTACCTAAAAAGTAAACTGGAAGTATACTGTTTTAATTTGTAGTTTAAAATTAGTATACTTAAAGGAGACTTGCATGTACTATTTTTAGCTACTGTTTTCATGATTTTAGCTTCTAGCTAGTTGTAAATTACAAATGTTGCTACTGTTTGGTTTGTTGGAGCTTTTCCAGACTTCATTTGTACAGCCTCACCCTGACTCTCGCTCCAACCAGTGTGGCAGGAGGGTTTCTGACCCAGGAATGCAGACCGACTCCAGGAGTTCAAGCAAAAGAAGCTAAAGTTTATTTTTAGCCTGTCGTGGCAGCAGAGCAGCCTTACAGGAACTGAGGGGAATAATCTCCAGGAGGCACAAAGAATAACAGCAGCTCTGAGGAAACCGGACGTGGCACAATGCAGAACGCTCTGCAGCGACAGCCGAGAGGCTCTGATGCCTGGTTCACACTGTCAGATATAACTGTGCCCACTTCGACCTGATTTTGACCTCCTGACAACCTTAAAGATGCTCAGATTGATGTTTTCCAGTTTCCACTCTGCTGTATTTAAGCGGTCCTCCACTACTTCTTCGTCCGTTCATTCTTCCCTGAACTTCTGTATGTTTTAGATTTTGCAACCACGTCGGCTTTTTCTTAATAATTTTATTATTGAACTCCTCGTGCCTTCAACTGCACTACTACCCTTACACTTTTAATTTTTCCTCTTTAAAAATGCACCACAAACTATCAACATCTCTTCTTCCTCGTCGGCCATCTTTATTTACTCTGAACTCACGTCTGATCTGTTGAAGTCTGGTGAGACTTCCTGTCTGACACCTAAATGTTGGTGAGTGAAATCTGTTGGTGTGGCTGTAGAACCAAACCTGTTTTATCTGAGTTTTTTCCTCATGTGAACTCTTTGTCTTTGAAAATAATTAGACAGTTTAAAAATCTGTCCATGTGAACCAGGCATAAGGACATAGGATGTGAGTGGGCGTGGCCAAGGAGCAGGTGCAAAGTAGTGATGTGCAGATCGATACTGAAATATCGATACTACCGACACCAGAACTTTATGTTCTAGAATTGATACTAAAATCAAAATATCGATACTTTTATATTTCAGTTATTTTACATATTGTATATCATTAACAGGAAAATAGTGGTAAATAACTAAGCTGTTCAAATCTTGTTTAAATCATACGTGATTGGAGGGAACTACTTTTTCTTCCGCTTGGGTAATGAGCACAGTGGCTTGTGCTCTGTCACTCAGTCTGTAGATGTATGGCAGGTCATTTTAACATAAAATCTGCTTCGTCTGACTGTAATTACATTTTAGATGAGGGGTATCCAAAACCTTTTTATGTTACGTCCCCCCAAACAGGATTAGCTCTGGCCAATGACCTTCTTGCAAAGAATACCAGATACCAGGCAAATTTTACTCGGTATCAGTATCGGAAAGAAAATTGGTAGTATGGACCATCACTGGTGCAAAGCTGAGGAAATGTACCATCTGAGGAAGAGTGGCTGGTGGCTCTGAGGAGAACACAAAAAACTGATCAGAACCGACACAAGAATCCCCAACAACACATTAACTAACAGGGAACAAACCTGATCTCAAACACATTAAACTACCAAAACTATAACCAGAATACACAGAAAACTATAGTACTATAATACTACACTGTCAGCATGACCTTAAACTGTACTTAGATCAAACATTAGTCCTAAAGTTAAACCCATAGTCCCCCAAGAGGTTCCACTGTGACCCAGGTTTTGGTCCCTAAAAGAACTCCTGGTCCTGGCTTGGTGGACGATTGTAGCAGAAAAGTTCTTAAAACAGTGAACAAACCCAGTGTGTAAACACACAAACAGACACACACACACACACACACACACACACGCACGCACGCACGCACGCGCGTGTGTGTGTGTGTCTGGGTGTGTCTGTTTGTGTGTTTCCAGCAGCCATCTTGTGTTCCTTCCCCAGAGACAGACAGACTGGGAGTGTGGGAACTGGGAAGGAAGCTAAACTCAGACGTGGGCACTGACATTTTTTATGAACAGGGTCGAGGTTCTCTGTGGAGATGGAGTCAGTGGGGTCGAGATAATAGAAACACACACACGCATACACAATATACACACAACACACAGAGTTTGTCAAAGGTGTGTGTGTCTCAGCTGTTAGACTTTAATAATGTGATGGAAAGAAACCATCAAAACTGATCACTTTGTTTACATACATAAATTTAATAAACTTCCTTTGGGGTAAGGGGGTCGTATTAGTTTCAAATGATCTACAAAGAATATTATCGTTTATTGCAGTGGTTTCTATTTAGCGATCAGTCTACACTCTCATCTGCGGTCCTGAACTTTGGGTCGTTCCTGAAAGAACATGATCGTGGACACAAGTGACTGAAATGAGTTTCTTCTGCAGGGTGTCTGACGCTGAGTTCAGTTCTCAAGGAGAGACTCTGAGTAGAGCTGCTGCTCCTCCACATCCAGAGGAGACAATAGGGTTGGGAAAAATCGTATCCTGTGCAATTAACCGTCAGAAAAACTTTAATCAATCATTTTTTGGCACTTAATGATAAATTTGATTAATGCTGCCAGGCAGACTGTGGAGATTTGTCTGGTCAGTCCGCTCAAGACTCCTCTCCAAATATGACGAACGTTTCTTTAAAAAGTTCTGTAATTTATTTATCATAACTCTGGTTTTACTTGACTGATCAAGTCAACACAATTAAAAATTGATATATAGCCTGAAGTCTGTACTTCTGACACAGTTTGTAACAGATTTTTACAGAGAGCAAACCTTTCGGTCATGTGACTATAGGACACGCAGGCATCCAGGGACTCCAGGGGATTAATCATCATATTAATCGTTATCGAATGAATACCACAATTAATCGTGATTCATTTTTTTGCCAATATCGCCCAACCCTATGGAGCCAGTTGAGGCTCCTGGTAAGGACGCCTCCTGGATGCCTCTCTAGGAAGGTGCTTCAGGCATGTCCAACTGGGAGGAGACCGTGAGGAAGCTGGCCTGAATGCCTTGGAGACCTCCCAGAAGAGCTGGAAGAGGTGGCTGGGGAAGGAGAAGATGATGGATGGATGGATGGATGGATGGATGGATGGATGGATGGATGGATGGATGGATGGATGGATGGATGGATGGACGGACGGACGATGATTTCTGAGACAATTTATCGTCCAGCAAAATGTGGTAGGTGCATGATTATTTCACGTTGAAGATGGATATCCTCCGGTGCGGCGCTGTGATGTTAGCGGCCGACGAGTTCGGCCTTCAGAGTCAGAGGACCAAGTTTTATATCCTAACCCTGACCATTTACCCTAAAATTAACCTCACAGGTACCTACGTGACCCTAAAACTAACAAACTCAATTCACATCTTGGTCCTAAACTCAACCCCCAACCCAAAATTAACATCTGTACCCGTGGGAACTGGTCATTGGTCCCCACAATGCACATTTGGTCCCCATGAGGCTGCCTTTTTCTGGAAAATGTTTCTCACGATGAAGCAAAAATGGGTCCACAAACACACAAGCTGTGTTTCCTTTGCAAATGTATGCAAAACTTTGTCGATATTCTGTTAATGTTGAAAAAACACAGTTTCGCAACTGCAGTGTTTTGTTCTCACGATAAGTCATTACAAACATGACGACAATGGATGTAAACACATAGCATGTTGCTACCATGACACTAGCGCTCATCATCAGAGGAAACGTCGGCGTCTTTTATCGAGGATTTCCAGCGACAAGTCCCTACTTGGGAGCGGCTATGTATGCTGTGTTTTTGGGAAATTGTAGTCGGTGAGTTTACTATTTTCTTTTACTACGTCTGTGATATTACTACTACTTCCTGTTATCTTCTTCATCACCGTCTTTTTTACCAGTAGAAACAGCCGGTTGTTGATCACGTGACTCCTGTGATGTGAAAAAAGTGTTTCTATTGCAGTTTTGTGAAAAACACCAATTTCGATACGGCCGAAAAACCACCTCATCCTAGCGCAAAAATATTTTGTCGAAAAATTTAAATTTTTTTTAAATTGACGTGTTTCATTTGAGCAAATTTGTTTTCAAAATTCTAATTTGTGCATTTTCATGGTCAGTGGAAACACAGCTACAGTCAGCTTTTTATCCCAAATTTGGGCCTGTAACTTGATTAAACATATATAAACTTAGCACAAAAGTAACTTAGCACAAGTAAGTACATTTGTGTTTAGTATATTGTTTTTTGTTGTAACAATAAAATCTTATAGTGTTGGAAAGCTTGTTACTTTCCTATTTAAATGGTGCCACATTTGTAAGGAACATGTTTTTGTGGGATGAGCACCCTCAAATTGGTGAAAAAGGAGGTTATATTTGTTGAACGTATCAGAGGAGTTGTTGAAGTGGGACAACCTCCGGTGCGGCGCTGTGATGTAAGCGGCCGACAGATTCGGCCTTCAGAGGAGCCAGCCTCAGTGTGGACTCAGCCTTTGTTTCGACTTTTAGGTGTTCCCTTCTAGAAGGGACATTCTTGTGTTGAAATATACTTAGCACAAAAAGTAAGGAAGTGTGTGTTTGGTAGATTATTTCTTTGTGGTAACAATGCTTCTTGGCAATAAATCTTATACCTGATTGGCAGCACAGGACCTGAAGCTCAAAACAAGAAGAAAAATCTGTTTCACCCACACACTGAAGTCAGCTCTGATTGGACTGATCTCCATATGCTAACATGTAGCTTACATATTTCATGCTGAACACAGCATCTTCAGGGTTTTTTACACAGGAGTCTGCTTTAAATAATGTAATAAAATCAGATCAGTATGAATAGGAAAGTTTAAACTCTGGTGAATCACATGTTAAAAAGGCTGCTGGTCGTTCTTTTCTAAAAGCTCCAAAGTTCAGGTGAAATTTGTTGTAAAATAAACATTTTCATCTGAGACAGAAACATAAAGTACTCACCTGGATTATCTGTGGCTTCTGTTGGACCGACTTTCATTTGAGATCTATGTGGGGTTTGATTAATATTTCTTGTCCTTATCTTGTTTGTGCATTTTGTCCCTTTGTTCATTCGTCCGGCTCACTGCTTCCTGTGCTGACCAGGTTCTTTCTTAATTAGGACTCCCTTTATTTTATCTTTAGGTTTTATTTACAAGAGTCTACACAAACGGTCCAGGATTCCAGGACAGAAAATTAGATGATGATGTTACTATAGTTGTTTTATTTCCTCAAAGTTGATAGTTTTACAGAGTAAAACAGCGAGCAGAGAACAGAGACAGTGTCCTCAGTGTCTTTGAGTCTTTGAGAAGAAAAAAACTTCGGTTTCACTTTAAAGTTCATTTACTGATTTTTGAGCAACTTTTTAAAGAAACAAATCGCCCATCTTTTCCTGTTTTTACGACAAGCTGTGTGTGTGTGTGTGTGTGTGTGTGTGTGTGTGTGTGTGTGTGTGTGTGTGTGTGTGTGTGTGT